TTGTTCTCAAACTATGGTCTCTGGAATAGCAGCATCAGCATCTTCTGGGAAATTGTTAGAAATGCAAATGTAAATTCACTGGCTCACTCAGACCTGTTGAGTCAAAAACTCTGAGGCTGCAACCCTGGAAGTGTCTTAATTCCCAAGGGATTCGATGTATACTCCAGTTTAGGAACCATAGCTAGAGGCTATTATCCTGTACATCCACCTGAATCTCACTGGTGAATAATACATGACGCATTGAAAAGTCTTTAAGAATTTGCAAAAAAAAAAAAAAAAAAATTATTAATGAGTATTTTTATAAATTATACATTTATTTTTCTGTTATTTTTCCACATCTCCTGTTTGGATCCTTGTAGGAAACAGAACGCCACAACGACCACTGGTGCATGTTCGCTCAGACTCCGAGATCTCTGAGAAAACTCGAGATTGCAGGGTTAAAAATAACCCGAAAGGATCAGAGTGAAATGCCCTTGGAACGTGTGTGGTCAGTTCTCAAGTCCGCAGCGGAGGATGTCTTGTAGATAGGAAGCCAGCTGTAAACCGCACACTGGGCACTCCCCTCTTCGTTCCCTTGTCCTGTAAACCGCACACTGGGCACTCCCCTCTTCGTTCCCTTGTCCTGTAAACAGCACACTGGGCACTCCCCTCTGTTCCTTTATTCTGGCTTAAAGATTCTTGCGTGCTTGACTAATCCTGTATACATGGAGCAATGTGCCTTACTACCCCCTGCTGTAAATCATTATAGATCTATATCGCTGTAGAAGGTATATGAGAGGATGGAAAATAAACCTCGGCGCCACGGGGTTTTAGCTCAGGGTCCCCTGTGCCTCGCTATAATGTCGTCTCTTTTTCTCAGTTCCTTCACCGCCCCAGGCCCCGACTCTCTGAGGTCGACAGATCCTTAGTTAATCATCTTTCCTTCAACTACAGTATTCTTCAAAGTATGTTAATTCTTCATCTATTCTCTAAGGAAGTGCCTACTGTGTTTATTTTCCTAAAATTACATTCATAAACAGGATGATTGCAAGCCAAAATCTGACATCAAATCATCTTTTATTATGATTTTCTTGTGGTTTATAAGTTTATATTGAATTTATATAATTTGTAATATAGATTTTCCTAAAAAGGGGAAATGTCCAGAAAAACTCTCTTTTTCATAGACGCTTAAATCTTATCAAAAGATATTGCTTTATCTCTTTTTCTTCAATCTTATATGTAAATTTCTTAAAATTGACTCTCTTTCGTGACAGATGAACTGTTGATTTTAAATCCCCCTTCAGATATATTTGGAATCCTGTTCATTGATTTGCTACTCAAAATGATCATTATGTTAGAGATGCTACTTTTTTTCTTTCTATTCAGGTATTTCCTGTGAGAATCCACCCAAAGTGAAAAATGCTATTATACTAAATGAGAAGTCTAGGTATCTACCTGGTGAGAGTGCCCGTTATGAATGCATCAAACCTTTTGACCTGTTTGGGGAAGTAGAAGTGATATGTTTAAATGGGACCTGGACACAACCCCCTCAGTGTGCAGGTAAAGTATCTTATTTCCCCTCAAATTTTAGAGGGGAATATATATATATTATATTATATATATGATACAATATATTAAGGACTGGCTATGTCAATGTAAATATATAATGACATAGTTCTTATGGAATCTTTTTTTATCTCAAATAAAATGATGGTGCTTAAAATCCAATTTTTTCTTTTTGTGGACTGCATAGTGATATTATCTATTTATTTTATGAAAGATTTGGCCAGATTAGGACAGCTGGAATCACAGAAAATTCTCTCTTTTTTTTTATTTTTAGAGAGAGAGAGTGTGAGCATGAGTGCAAGCAGTGCGTGGAGGGGCAGAGGGGAAGGAGAGAGAGAATCTTTAGCAGACACCACACTGAGCACGGAGCCTGATGTGGCGCTCGATCTCACGACCCTGAGATCATGACCTGAGCAGAAATCAAGAGTCAGACATTTAATCGACTGAGCCACCCAGGCACCCAGAAAATTCTCTATCTTAAGCATTGAGATACTCAGTTATTTCCTGAGGAATAAATGTATTAAGGATATATGGGGGGCGGCGCTGGGTGGCTCAGTCAAAGCAGAACCTGCTTCCCCCTCTGTCTGCCGCTCCCCCTGCTTGTGCGCTCTCTCTCTCTCTGACAAATAAATAAAATCTTTTTTAAAAAAATGATATGCTGAGGACATTTGACAGCTCTGAAATTTCACTTTGAGACACACAATCAGCAACTGGGGCATGTTCATAGAATCTGATATAAATTTGGGCTTCTTCAGCATGTGGATTACATAAAGGAAGGTTACTAGGTGAGCTCAACCAGAGAATTAGTGTATATAGGAAAAAAAGTCTGAGAACTTGGTCATAGGACACTCCAGTAATTAGAGTTTAGGAAAGAAGAGGACCCAACAAAGGAGATATTATAGCTGCTTGTTTTTCAAATCAGCTTTTGCCTGGCATATATATTTTCCAGTCTTTTACTTTGAGCCCACCTGTGTTTTCATGTTGAAGGTAGTTTCTTTTCATTGCCATATAGTCGGCGCTTGTTTATGTATCCATTCTGCCATTTTCAGTCTTTTAACTGAAGTGTTTAAGCCATTTACACTTAAAATAATTATTGATAGATTAGGGGCTGTGTCAGCCATTTTATTATTTGTCTTCCATTTCTTTCCTCTATTTCTCACTCCCATTCCTTTTTTGGCCATCCCTGCGGACATTTGGAACATTTTAAAATAATTTTATTTTGATATGTCTTTGTTGTTTTGGAGCATATCTCTTCATATAGCTTTATCCGTGGCTGCTCAAGGTATTAAGATGCACATACATAGCTTGTCACTCCCCCCCACCCCCGTTTTGACCTTTTACCACTTCAAGTGAAATGACGAAACCTTACTTCCACTTAGGTCCATTCACCCTTCCACATTTTATTTTATTTATTTTATTTTATTTTATTTTATTTATTATTTATTTATTGATAGAAAGACAGAGAGAGAGTGAGTGGAGTGGGAGAAGGAGAGGGAGAGAGAAGATCTTAAGCGGACTCCACACCCAGCTTGGAGCCTGACACAGGGCTCAGTCTCACAACCCTGAGATCATGACCCGAGCGAAATTCAAGAGTGGACGCTTAACCGACTGACTGAGCCTCCCAGGCGCCCCTACCTTCCCCACATTTCAAACATGTTTCCTAAGTATTTCTTCTACATATACTGAACATCTTATCAAATAATATAATGTTTCACAAACATCAAACATAACAAACTCCTTAGGAAAAAAGAGTCCATTATATTTACCCTTATTTTTTCAGTCCATTGTTTTTTTTTTTTTCCTTCATGAAGACTCAATCCTCTCTCTGTTATCTTTTCCCTGATATTTGAAGAATTCCTTTAGCAATTCCTTAAAGATAGATCTGCTGGAGATAAACGCTCTGTTTTCCTTTGTCTCAGAATATCTTCTTTTCTCCCTTAAACCCTAGAGGATAGAATCACAGGATACAGCATTCAGGGCTGACGGTTCTTGTCTTCTAGCACTTGAAAAATGTTGTCACTTCTTTCTGGCTTGATGGTCACAGATGAGAACCCCACTGACATTTGAATCCTTTTTCCCCTATAGGTTTGCATAATTTCTATGTAGCTGCTTTTGAGATTTTTTTCTTTCTCTTTAGCTTCCCTCAGTTGAATGTGGCTTATCTTGGCATGAATTTCTTTGGGTTTGTCCTGTTTGGCTTTTTCAATATGAATGTTTATGCCTTGTGCCCAATTTGGGAAATTTTCAGTCAGTATTTTTAGAAGTTTTTTTGATTTTGTGTTCAGTCTATTTTAAAAGTGAGTAATTTGTATTCTGTATGCAAGTTTATTTAGCCTTCTGTCATCTGTCATCCATGATTGAGCCCATCCAGTGAGGTGTTTGTTTTAAATTCCATTATTATATTTTTTAGTTCTATAATTCCCACTGGAATTTTAAAAACCATCATCAAATAATTCCAGTATCTGTGTCATAGAAGTGTTGTGATCTGTTGATTATCTTTTCTCTTTTGAGATTTTCCTGGTCCTTGGTATGATGAGTGATTTTCAATTGTATTCTAGACATTTCGGGTGTTGTGTTAAGATTCTGGATTTTATTGAAATCTCTTATTTACCAGGCCTCCACTACTGCAGAGTGCAAGTCCAGGCTTCCCACTTGGCCTCCACTGACACCATGGTAAGGGGAGAGGTGTCTTGTTTCCTGACTGTGGATAGAAGTCTAGGTTCCACCTTTGACCTCTGTTGATCACTGTTGGTCTCTGATCAACATGGGGAGAGAGTTGGTCAAGGTTTCTTCTATGTTTTTCAGGAGTAATTCAACTATTGTAAAAAGAAATATTTCTGTCTTCCTAGAATACTCCTTTCCTGAGCCTTTGGCTAACAAGAGCAGACAATTCTTGGAACTTTTTTTTTCCCTGAACTTGATATCATTTCTGGGTTCCAGTCTTCTTCAGTGCCCAGTCCAGGATCCATAGGAGGCAACATGAAAACCCAAACAACTCACTGCAGTATAATTCCTTGAATACCAAGGCCTCTGATCAGATCGACGTCTTCTCTACATCCTTCACCATCTCTTTTGTTGGTTTTTATATTTTTAGTGATACTGAGCAGAAGGAATAAGCAGAAAGGTTTCTACCTCATCATGTCCGGAACAGGAAGCCAGCAATTCTCTTTCCCATTATACAAATGTGTAATTCTTTGACTTTAATTAAAGAAGTTGATGTTCCCTTTATAAAATAAATGAAAATCAATAAGCAATGACTAGAGATCCAATAGCCACTGCAGTATGTTTTATGTAACAAGAAAGTTTCTTTGTTTCCATTAGCTATCCATCTGTCCAGGATTTATTCAGGAAGAAAAACATTTTTTAACACCAGAATACATAAAGCAGATATATTTGTTAATGCTTCAGGTGTGCTTTCATGCGGGATAAAAGGAAAGCCTTAGAATTGTAATTCTCACTTTAAGTGATTAAAATGTCTTCAGTGGGGGCGCGTGGGTGGCTCAGTTGGTTAAGCATCTGCCTTTGGCTCAGGTCACGATCCCAGGGCTTTCTGCTCAGCAGGGAGTCTGCTTCTCCCTCTGCCTCTCCCTCTGGGCTTCTGCACTCTCTCTCTCACTGACTCTCTCTCTCTCAAATAAATAAATATTTATTTATTTGTCAGAGAGAGAGAGGGAGAGCACAAGCAGGGGAAGCGTCAGGCAGAGGGAGAAGCAGGCTCCCTGCTGAGCAAGGAGCACAATGCGGGACTCGATCCCAGGACCCCGGGATCATGACCCGAGATGAAGGCAGATGCTTAACTGACTAAGCCACCCATGCATCCCAAATAATATCTTTAAAAAATAAAATAAAATAAAATTTCTTCAGTGAATCCTTTCTGTCAGCAGAAATCACAAGACTTGATATTGAATATTATGCTATATTTTTATTTGCTTTATTTTAACCTGTTTTTCTTTGGTTTTTCAATAAATCAAATAAATTTTTTTTTTTTAGATTCTAAAGGAAACTGTGGGCCTCCTCCACCTATTGACAATGGAGACATTACCTCATTCCCATCATCAACATATGCTCCGGGATCATCAGTAGAGTATAAATGTCAGTCCTTCTATTTACTTCAGGGACAGAGGACCATAAGATGTAGAAATGGACAGTGGTCACCACCACCAAAATGCTTAGGTAAATATTTCAATATTCTCATGGATCCTGGGAAAATCAGTATAATAGATGTTTTGCTTATTAATAGAATGTT